TCTGTAAGCAGGAGCGGTGTTTAAATTTGATGCTTATTTTAGTGACATTTTTGGGATTTTGGGCAAAACATCAGGGGGGTGGTCTAACTCCTAAGGGAAAAATCACAAAGCCGGCCCACTTTGTCTTTTAGAGTTGTTGGGTGGTACCTTCAATCTGGCAAAGTTTCATCCAAAAAGAAGAGATGGCATGTATCACCCCTGCCTGGTCCTTTGGTAAATTCGGTCTTAAAACCATTTCCCCAGAGGTATTTTTTTGATTTTCAAACAGTTGGGTGTATAGTTAACCAGTAGGAAGTTTTTTAAGGCATTTAAAGTTATAGCCCATAGAAAAAAAGTGATATTTTAGTGCTATAATTTGCTTGCAACACATTGTCAAATTATTCGTTTCTGTTCGATCTCGGTCCGGGCTTAAAACTAACTTTGATTTATGCTACTTTTCGTTCAGTGGTACCATGAAGACCTGAGCTGAATATGCATATCACTGAAAGATTCTCAAGTAGCTGCTGTGTGATGTGCGATGCGATCAAATACTCAGAAAATTCAGCATAACTGGAAGTAGATTTTCAGCTCAATCGGGACGAAATTGTTTTTCGCAAAATTCTGCCAAAAGTAAGCCGTATTAGAAGTAACTAATTACGGTCCGTTTGTATTCTCACTAGGACCTATCTATGGGCAAAATACGAGTGAAATCGATTTTTCGACTTGTGCTACCGCAAGTCGATTTTGGTCGATTGTTATACAGTCACTCTTAATTCCATGAAAAGACTTACCAGATTGTAAATTGTATGGTCCACCTACCTCTTCCCATATTGCGAGCAAACCTGTCAGGATTTTCCCTTTGCTTGCACTTGGGAGATTCCAATGTAGTTCTATAGAATTCGTGAGAAAAAGACATCGATTCTGTAATATCGTATAATTGTGCTTTATAGAGCGTTTCTATTCACGTGGCCAGTAGCGATGCAAATTTATTGGAGCAAGAGAAACTGTTTACATTAGGCCTTGTTCACACAACGCTGGAGAAATTTGAAAACGCAGCTTTTTTCTCTGGTTGGGCTTCCCGTCCACTCTAATCCGTCACGGAGACGGAGCTTTTAAAAAACACTCTTCAAACCCGAGAAATTTGGAAACGGCGGCTTGTGTTTTTTAGTGTGGATGAAAAACATTTTGAAAACGGAGCCTTTCGAAAACGATGACGTCACGATAGTCATGAGATTCCCATAGCCGAGGTTTCTTCAAGCACAAATCCAAAATGATAGGTGATTGTTGCGTTTTCAAATTCCTTCGGGGTAGTGTGAACGGGGCCTTAGAAAAGAGTTAAACTCCCACAGGATTGGTTCGGAACACCAATATGGCTGCCTTGACGTCCGTGAAAACGCCTTCTATAAAAACCATACTTTTTTTCTCCTCTGTTTAGTTGAACTTCCTTTGAACTTATGACTTGTGACTGTGTTTACAACTTAAGTGAAGGTGTCTCGAAGAAAAAGGCATCTTTTGGGCTGTAAAATTGGAAGCAGTTTTTGTTGACAACATTTCTTTCATGTGTATAGTTTTCTTTTTTTTTTTCGTTTACAAGGTAGCGAGAAGCTCTAAGTTTAAACATTGTTCCCGGAAACGGTTGACAAAGCTTAGTCAAGCAGAACCACGAACAATGAAATTTCATTCGCTCAAGCAACAACGGGAACGATGAATGTTTACTAGTAATGAACGAACGTACAAAGTTGTACAGATAGCCGTTGTACCAAAAACCACGCGCTTCAAAGAAATTGCCAGAGAAAGGTTAATTTCAAACTTGAGGCCGTAAATCGCAGAGTTTACTCTTTCCAAAATTAATGACCCATCAAATCGCTGAAAACTGACTTGAAGGCAAAGAGTGAAGCGAGAGGAGTCGAATGTACCGCGCAGACTCAAATAGTTCCTTGAATTTATACTGAATCAAGTCGCACAAAAAACGCGACCTCTTCTGTTCAAAGACTGTCCAAAGCAGCTTACGAGATCATCGTCACTCTAACCTGCAAACAGAGATTCCCTTCCCTTTCTGCTCGGTGAGAGACGAAAGGGAACATCAGCTCGCAACCGCTCGATCGTTTGATCACAACCAGGGACGAATAAATTAACATACCAGTTTTTGACAATTTTTTAAGAGAATGACGACAATATCTGCGGCGCTGTGACTGGCTAAAAATTAAAATTGGTAACACTACACTAACATGTACTCATCAAATTCAAAACTTTCGCCCGATAAATAACTGGCGATCTTAAACTATTTGCTGTTTGCATATTTTTCATCATGGAGTAATCTTTATTTACTTTATGTTTACCTTTCTTCATTTTTTGGGAATACTTTTTTCAAGAAACTGCGAACGTTGCGCTGGAGAGTAAGCCCAATCAGATGACACGCAGCACTATCACCAATGTTGTCCTTGCTCTTGTCCAGATCAGTCGACGTTCTATTCACTTTAAGGGCTTCAGAGAGATGACCTGCACCAGTATCACCAATATTGTTCCATGTCATATTCAGATTAACCAACGTTCCATTCACTTTTAGGGCTTCAGAGAGAAGACCCGCACCACTATCACCAATTTTGTTGCCGCTCACATTCAGATTAGCCAACGTTTCATTCACTTTTAGGGCTTCAGAGAGATGAATCGCACCGCTATCACCAATTTTGTTGCCGGTCACATTCAGATAAGCCAACGTTCCGTTCACTTTTAGAGCTTCAGAGAGATGACCCGCACCACTATCACCAATGTTGTTCCAACTCACATTCAGGTTAGCCAGCGTTCCATTCACTTTTAGAGCTTCAGAGAGATGTCCTGCACCACTATCACCAATGTTGTTTGAAATCACATTTAGTTTAGCCAACGTTCCATTTACTTTTAGAGCTTTAGAAAGATGACCCGCACCACTTTCATTAATGCTGTTCCAATTTACGTTCAGATTAGTCAAAGTTCCATTCACTTTTAGGGCTTCAGAAAGATGACACGCTCCACTTTCACCAATCGTGTTCGCAGTCACATCCAGATTAGTCAAAGTTACATTCACTTTTAGAGCTTCAGAGAGATGAGCCATACCACTATCACCAATTTCGTTGTTGTACACATCCAGATTAGTCAACGATTCATTCACTTTTAAGGCTTCAGAGAGATAACACGCTCCACTTTCACTAATGCTGTTCTCACTCACGTTTAGATTAGCCAACGTTCCATTCATTTTTAGTGCTTCAGAGAGATGATCCGCACCACTATCACCGATGTTGTTCCCACTCAAATTCAGATTGGTCAAAGTTCCATTCACTTTTAGGGCTTCAGAGAGATGACACGCTCCACTTTCACCAATCTTGTTGCCGCTCACATCCAGATTAGCCAACGTTCTATTCACTTTAAGGGCTTCAGAGAGCCGACACGCTCCACTTTCACCAAGTTTGTTCCAACTCACATTTAGATCAGCCAACGTTCCATTCACTTTTAGGGCTTCAGAGAGATGACACGCTCCACTTTCACCAATGCTGTTCTCACTCACGTTTAGATTAGCCAACGTTCCATTCATTTTTAGTGCTTCAGAGAGATGACATGCGCCACTATCACTAATGTGGTTCCCACTCACATTCAGATTGGTCAAAGTTCCATTCACTTTTAGGGCTTTAGAGAGATGACCCGCACCATTATGACCAATGTGGTTCCCACTTACATTTAGATTGGTTAACGTATTGTTGACATTAAGATCCTCAGAGAGAGAACGCACATCATGATCACCAATCATTTTGCCACTCAAATTTAAACTGGTCAAGGTGGTATTGATCTTTATTGCCTTGAATGAAGAATGTGGACTTGGCACGCCGATGTCCAATGCTGAACCAGAAAACTTTTCAACTGTGAGAAAACCAAAAAAGGAAAGAAAAATGGTTGAGAACTATTTCGCTTATACCGTGGCCTATGTAACATTGGTTTTCACTTGAAGAAGAAGTGAAAAGTTGTTGTTAAACACTCTGCCCGAATTTTATAGTTCGTTTAACAAATAAGGTAACGCGCGCATGATAGTCATTATTACGCAGATTGGGAGTAGAGCCTCATTTCAACCTTGTAAGTCTTCCTATTCAGATTCAATTGAAAGAATAGTCGGGGTTGTCTCGTTTATTCTCATAATGGAGTGACGCAAAATGAACGCACCCTAAGATTCTACTTGCTTCTACAATATATCAAGGTCGCCCGGGACCCTTGCTTATTAGTGAAGTTATTGGCAGCATTTCTTGAGAAGGTACCATCTCATATAGCTTTTATTATCAGACTCTATACGTAGTGTTGTCTGTATAATATTGGTACAGAATTTTCTCGTAAACATATAAATTGGCAATCCCAAAGTCACACTCCCTGGTCAAAATGGTTATGACAATTTAACTGTAGACCACGTGTAAGAACCTGCTTGATCTTGCTTGGCTGAACAGGTTCTTACATTTTTGGGTTTGAAAATGGCAAATTTCTGCCAGCAGGTTCTTAAACCACTAGGTTCTTACACACGGGTTTTTAATGTAGCTTCATTGTTGGTCATGTTTGGGTTTGTCTATTGGCCTTGTTTAGACCCTCCACTAAGTTCCTCTTTTTGGCGTAAGTTCTTGAAAACTAAGTGTTCTACTCGTTGTATCAAGTGCTTTGCTATTCATTCGCGGGAGTGGCATGAAACTGCTTGGGTTATTGCCTTGTAAAGATGTTTAATCGTCCCGTATGCCCACCCATGCCTACCGATAAGGTATTTTTAAAACGCGTGTGCATTTGGTAGAGAATCAGAAAGAGATTGCCGTGTAATTCATGGGGAAGAATCAGGCAATAAAGGTTAGATTCCTGTCAACTCTACCAACTTGTTGTCGAGCGCCCTCATTGGTTCGGCCTTCGGCTACATTAACTACCACTACATAGAAATTTGAAGATCTAGCTTTTGGTTGCAGTTAAGTGAATCACCTGCCACTCGATGCCAAAGTGAAACCCTTCCATTAGTGTTAGACCTTTCCTCGTCAAAGTGAATCTTACCTTCTTTAGGAATCTGAGTTAGAGACTGGCAAGACGGCGCCAGAGAACCAACTCCTGCACATGTCGAGCCTTTTGTCTCGAGCTCATCTGAAATAATATGAGAGAAATTGCAATATTACTATCTTTGAAACATAGTTTGAAGTTACCAAACAATATATACATTGAGAAGGGATCCACCTCAAATTTGAGTAACAAGGGGACAAAAACTTTGAACGTTACATTGTACTGCAAACTTTTGTGCGACTGTTTTAAATATCTTCTCAAATGAAGTCATTTCCAACAACACCAAATGTCGAAATTTTGAAGTTCACATAAGAAACTTTTAAATACCGATGAAATGAGACTGATGATGAAGTTTTACCTTTGTTTGCACAATTTCTCTGAACTTTGAAATGTATTCTCTTGAGTTTCCATGTTTTTGGTGTTATTTCAGACAGCTTTTTATATCTTTAGCGTTTAGAAAATGCGAAAAGGACTGTAATGTCCTTAAAGTTGTTCTGGTACAAGGTTATTGTCCACTGAAAACTGGTATTGCTCGATTTTCTATCAGGTTTTGTCTTAAAGGCTCACTTGCATCACTCAAGATAATTATTATCATTATTATTATTATTATTATTATTATTATTATTATTCAACAACGACTTTTTAAAACATAAACAAGGAAATATTAAAGTTAATAGCGGACGTTTCGACGTTATCGCGACACCATTCTCAAGGCAAAATGAATAAATTAATGCGAAGATTTGATTTCTATACTTTTACATGTACAGTCTCTACAAATTGGCATAATAACGCGCAAAGGTGCAACATTACAGCATGCCATTCTTTCCACTATCATTGCGTTTTAATTTATGAGATTTTTGCTCGGTCATACCCACAAATCCACATTATGAGACGAGAAAGTAAACTACGTCATTAGGTTATTTGGCTTTTTACTTATTTATTTTTGCCTTTCCTTTTTCTCCTTTTCTTATCTTTTTGCTGCAGTTGTTGACCTTCTACTGGGCTTGCTTGCAGTTCCAGAATTCTCGAGAAAGCATCGTCGAGACAGGAATATTCTTACCGCGGAGTAGTTAAGTGTAGTTAAAGGAAATTTTGCTACGAGTTTTTCACTCAAATTTCTAACGCTTTTCCTGCATATTTCACGCTCTATTAACCCAATCACTCTGATCTGGATATCATTGGAAAGATCTCTTCCTCCTGCAGAACTTGAGTATAAGTGATGCCAATTTTGGTCAAAGGTGATGACGTCAGAAGTGGAACAAAGAACAGTGGACACGGCCGATTGCGGCCGGCACAGTCGCTAATGGTTAAGGAAGAGACGGACAAGCAAGAGACTATGATCGTCTCTCGGTACGAGAGTACTTTTCTCATACTTGTAAAAGAGGTTTCTTTCAATAATCCTGATGGTTTTCGTGAATATTACTCTTTTCTTCTACATCTAGTGACAGATCCTTTTGACTTTAAAGACTGTGAATTTTATCTATTCTTAAAGCGAAACTGAAAACTTTTTTCAAAAGATTTTCACTAATTTAAATGAACTTTTAACTTTTATATTTTGTGTAGTTAGCTATTTAGGATTAGGCTGTTTTTAAATTATTTAATTGGTTTTTTTCGAGGGCCTCACTGAGAATCGCCTTGGCGAGCTGGGTTCCCTCGTAGAATATTACTATTATTATTATTATTATTATTATTATTAATATTAATATTAGTGTTAATATTATTATTAATATTATTTTTATTATTACCTTTAAGGTCGTATTTACTCAAAAATTAATTTCCGCAGCATAAACTTGTGGAATTGTTAATGAACAGAGTGTATCGAATTCCTTTTCTTCAATTGTTGTATTATTCTGTTTAATTATTTTACCCGATGAACATTAGAGTTTTGGCAGAGTGACTCTCAGCTCTCAGGAGTTTAATATTTCGTACCACATTGTTTCGTTCTGTGAATATTCCGCATTGATGTAGTTTATTTTTTAGGATGATAATTTTTTAATTATATATTTAAATTTTGTATATCGATCATCTTTAACTTCTTAATAACTGAGGGTGAGGTCGTTACGGGAAAATCTCAAACTGAGGCCTTACCGTATTGACCTCGCTATCGCTCGGTCAATACGGTAGGCCGAGGTTTGAGATTTTCCCGTAACGACCGAACGGTTGAGGTTTTTAAGTTGTTTATTATATGGCTTTTTAATTAATTAAATGTAAAAATTTTTTCTAGCGGAAGTCGTCAATTTACATCCGGCGATGCGCGCGTTTACCGATTCATTCATCGTCTCAAACCCAGGACAAAACTACACAGTCAGTAAACTTCACCACTATATTACGTATTCCGTCAAAAACACACATTTCTTTATACGAGAAAAACGATTGTCACAGCCTCAAAAAGATATTTTAGTATAGTGGTGCCACAACTTGATGGAGGAGTTTTCCGACTTTTGTGGCGAAACGTCAACGCATATAGAAAAGACATAAAGTGCTTCAAAATAGTCCAAACAAATTCAAACGGTCTTTCGGTGAAAGAAGATACTAATTGCGCAGAATAACTCGATCTTCGCATTCGCTTTCGACAACATATCTTCACCTTCTTGATTCTGGGAGATTTATGGATGAACTTTTTAAGCATTGTGAACGTCTAAAACTTCCTGTAGTTATCAAAAACTGCTGCCGACACTGAGAAACCGCCCGATTGTCTACATCTGATGATCCTGGAAGCTGTTTTACACTTGCTTGTGTTAAAGCGAGGAAATCTATTTGATGAGAACTACTAAACTAACTGCGACGGAGTTCAGTATTTCGGTAATTGGTGTGACTAAGATGATAACTTATAAGTTTCTTCGTGGTGTTCTGCTCAGGATGCGTGTCGGATCTTCCGATGGTGTTTTTCACTTAGCGATTTCAGCTTTACATAAGACTCGGCAAACTTTGATTGTTTATCACTAGTGCCCGGCAAAGTTGCAGGCTGGTAAGTCAAAAACTACTTCTATATAAATTTTATTAAGGAAAAATCTCGTTGAAATGTTATCATGTCACTGACAGCTTTTTGATGCGATTTCGAAATATTTTATTTGTTTGCTTGTTAGACGTGAGCTTGAATGTATTCTAGTTTGTTTACCTTATCCTTTCCAGCGCAATCTCGTGGCTAGTTTAACATTGTACCTTCGGTCTTCGACTAAACTTTTAGCTACTCGGACTTAAATTTACTTTCTCTTGCTGTTTTTAATCGGCTTTCATCGTTTTCATTCACTCGAATAGACCATTCTCGATTTATTAAAATTGTAACTTGGCTCCGAGGCTTCGGGGAATAAAACAAAAGAAATCACAATGAGGTTGAGTGATGAATAATTAATTTCTTTTGTTTTATTCCCCAAGCCTCGGAGCCACGTTAGAATTTTAATATATGGAAAATAGCCTAAGCCGCCGCGGTGATTGTTTGACACTGTGCCCATGCTCTTCGTAATTTGTATAATCCGTAATTGGCCCGTGGGCATTACGGCTGCACAATGACCGCTCAGATCTCGCCCTTAAACTATCAGAGCGCGCTTTATATCGGCCACAAACCAAAGCCATATAATGAAATAAAGTGAAGTCCTTATTTAAAAAATTATTATTATTATCATCATTATTATTATTAGTTACAATGTTGGCTGTGTTGTGATTGGAGAACAACCAAAGCTTCAAGATCTTTGGAGATTTATTTCATTAATTAAGGAAAGAGAGGAATAAATATAAAGTAACCAAGGAAAAGTTATCTTATAGAAGTTATCAACCGCTCTTTGAACAGAATTCGTGTGTTATTGAGCGGGGCAGTAAAAAATGAGGGAAAAACGATTCCTTTGACGTTGATAACAAAGACGATAATGATGGTAATATTTCTTAATAAAGATAAATAACAAATATCTTTACCGTTCAAAATTGAGGATTCATTTTCTTCCGCATTTTTAGCTTCTTCTGTAGCCAGGGTGCTCATGTACTCAGCGGTCTTTGTACGGGGGTAGGTTTCTTCGGGAGGTTGAATCTGAGTTTCGTCTCTTGCAAGGTTCGTACTTTCAGTAGTAGCCCGGGTCTGAGTTTTTTCCACAGATCGAATCTTGCTCATGCCAGTACCTCGAGTTTGTATAGCTTCCACAGCCCTTGTCCTAGTTTCCTCAGCCGATGGAATCTGAGTTTCTGCAACAACTTGGGGCTCCGTTCCTTCCACAGTCAAAGTACGAGTTTCGTTCGTAGATGAAATGTGAGTATTCCCTGAAACGAAGATCTCGCTTTCGTCAACCATCTGACTCTGCCATTCCTCGGCAGGTTGAATCTGTATTTCCTCTAAAGTCAGAGTCCCACGTTTGACAGCAATCTGGGTCTGAGTTTCCCTAGACGTTTGAGTCGAAGTTTCTCCAGCAGTCTTTATGGGTGAACAATCATTGCTGTCTAACAAATTAGCGAAAGAAAGAGGCAATGTTATTTGTACGTTTGAAGAAATACCACAGATATACCTGAGCGACATAAAAAAATCTATAAATACTGTGGTGTCTAGTTCGCCTCAACACCCTGTGCCCTATAATGTACTGTAATCATTTTGTTGTTGTGGGTGTTACTGGTTAGTCGCCATTATAAAACGGTACATTACACTGTTGTCCTGTGCAGTTCTCAATGTAAGATGATTGTTGAGAGATAAATCACACCTAGACTAAAACCGGTAACAAAGCCACACAATCATTTTACACTTGACATAGCCAGTTTCCTGAATGAAAGACATCTCAAAACCTATCGGTTTAGTTTTGACTGAATAAAAATGTATAAACATACTTTTCTCATAGCTTGAACAAGTGTTATTTTCAGCTTACTTGGTTTGCTCGACAGAAACTCTTTGCATGCCAAGTAATCTTCTTCCTGAATAGTTGTGGCTAAATTTACAGACTCCACATGAAATCTCCTCTTTATTTCATCTGTCACAAGGTATTTCTCGGCTATTTCATTTAGGCGACCAGAACGATAGTCTTCCCACAGGCGTTCAAGTCCTTCCAGACTGCTGCACCTCACTGCTAACCGTAAACTATTCTCACTTTCTTCTGTTGGCGTTGAGTCATGAATTAGTTTTGGATACTGAAAGTACTGAGGTAATTCATCAACGGCAACACCACTTGTTTTTTCTTCAGACAGTAGTTGTCGACTTTCCTCTCCTTCTTTTTCTTGGTGAGCACCATTTTCTGATTCTGTGTTTTTGAAGTTTTCTCTGTCTTCAAAGACATCAACGACAAAAGTTAATGAAACGAGAGGAAGATAGCAGATTTATGATTGACGTTCTTTCCCATCGGGCTTTAATCCATGCAAAGGACATATCCCCTATTCTATATGTAGACATATAGTTGTACATAAAAAGGAATATTTTTGACCGAATCTTTGGCTCTTTGATCGGTACCTCTGCCTCATTAATTGTCGTTGTCATTATCTCTAAATATCTGGCACTCTTTCTGCATTAACCTTGTTGTCGTATGGATACGTTTGTGGTGTATTTTAACAGACATTAACTCAAGACCATATAAATACGGTAAACACCCGCCAAAGAGAACCTCGGATTTTTCGCGTTAGCCTCCATAGGTTCTTGTATAAATGAAGTTTACTGTGAAATTAGGCTACCAAGCTTCTTAATCAGGTTCTTAATATATCTTTAACTTGTACTCATGGTTGTGATCTTTATATTGAATCATTTACAGTACGGTATTGTGCTCCTATGCCACTGCCAGTATTCTGGCTAGTTTTTGTTACCTTTTTTTGTATCGCATGTGATGTACTGTATTATATTGAAAAAACCTCTATATTTTGAAGATAAGAACCTGTAAAGAGATTTTAGCCTAGAATGGTTCTTCTGTGAAGGGTACTTAACAGGAGAGATATTAGCCCAACAAGTTCTTAAATTTTAGGTAATACGCGGGTTTTTACTGCATTGTACTAATATAGTTGCTTTAGTTGAAATACGATACAAAACCAAAAAACAAGGAAATTTTCCTCTCCAGAGGAGTGGGATCGCTATCCTGCGAATAGCATAAGCAGATCGTAGATAAGGAGACAACCAGTCGATTTAAAAGTTCCGAAAAAAAACAAACAAACCAAAAAAAGAACGCTTACGTACAAAACTAATGAATTAGTGTAATAAGTAGGCAATCAACCTAAAGTTTAAAATTAAATTTCTGTAGCTCCCTTCTCGATTTCATCCTTCAAATTTGTCCTAGACCTAAGGGCACATAAGAAATATGTAATCAGTGACTTATGTTCTGTTGATATGCGTGACTTTTTGAAAAAGGTTGTAACTTACAATTAACTGCAAAGTGCACTGTCATTGGTTCAGCGTCTTCAGCCGTTTGAGTCTGAGTTTCATCAGCAGCTTGGTCAGCATGGTCGTGGGCAAGTGATTCGTGGGCCCTCAATGATGAGTCCTGGTTCACTTCTAAATAATTCAGGCAAAACTCAACTGCATTATTAATTTTGTGAAATTATATTTGTTGTCTTATTTATAGATGTTTCGAGGAAGGTTGTCCTACAAAAGCGTAAACGCGTACGCGACAATGTCTAAAAGTATTATGGGTAATGGTGGTTCACGGTTGCTTGATTGATGCTCAAGGTGTGTCAGCGCAATAGAAGGAAAAAAACATGTGTATTAATACTGAAACACCGTAAACCTGAACCAAGCAACGGTAAACTGTCACTACCCATAATATCATGGCCAATCGGCATTGACGCGCAGGCTTCTACGCGCGCTTTTTGCGGGACAACGTTTGACGAAACAGCTGTATATTTAGGCACGTAATAAAGATATGAAGGACATGTTGATGCCAACTAGAGGCCCCTTAACAAAACTGATTTGTCGGAAACTGTTAGTTAAGGACTAGTAGCCCTTTTGACCCAATATTTTCCAAACTAACAATAAACTGGGAATCATAGATTCTTTAAAGTTCGATATTGCATTTTCTAGAGAAACATCAGAGTGGAGGGCAACCTCGTTCCCAGGGCTTTCCCTAAGAGATTGGGAGCCTAATGAGAGAGGCGGGGAAAGGCCCTGGCATCGGCTGGTCATGTGATCATGAACAATCGATTATTCTCGTTGTAATAAATTACGATATCACGAGGATGTAAAATAGTTTCCAAGCAAGATGGCGGAATTGCAAGGTTTTGCTTTTGTTTTTCTTTGATGCGACACTTTTCTATAAGAGAATTTAACCTCTGAGAGGTGTTTTAGATTTAACTCTTCGGTTAGCTCGGTTTGATTCTAATCTTTCTTTCAAATTCCTATTTCTAGCCGGAGTTCTGCTGGTCTCCTCCGTCGGCTGCGGAGAAGACCAGCGTTATGCCTGAACAAACAAACAACTCGCGAAATAGTCATCAGACTTGCGCTTGAGCAGCTAAATTTATGACTCCTCTTCATTAGCACGGCATAACATGCTCTTCAGAAACACGCCTGAAGCAAAGGAAGGTCGAGAGACCGAAAAGAGAACGGCAAACGCCCGAATTTCAAGTACCCTAGGAGTCGTTTTGGCCTGTAGCTGCGAAGACAGACGGATTTCCGGCTTTTGTTTCACCCCGCCGAAAAAATTCTATTATTTTTCGGCGGCGTGGAACAAAAGTCGGAAATCCTTCTATGTTCGCAGGCTAGTAGGTCCGTCAACCCCATTCTACACCGACAGGATAAACCACAAGAGTGCATAAATTAGTATACGTAATGAAATTTAGTTTTACCATGTGACAAGCCGATGCCACTGTCTTTTCCCGCCATTCCCAATCTCTAAGGGAAAAGCCATGGGAACGAGGTTGAGTGGAGGATTCAATAAATTAAGGAGGAACATAACACTGAATAAGTTAATATATATGAATTATATAAACAAGACATCGAAACGACATGTTCGTGGTCACTTAAACTGTAGGAATTCAGTACAGAAAACGTTGCAATATATGGGATTTCTATGTTTCGAATATCAAATGTCTTGCTTTGTAACTGACGATGCATAGAATGAACGAAAATAGGCTCTTAATGTATACATGTTCGTTTATATATAGAAAAAAATCATACTGAATATATTGTGATATATATTGTGATAATATATACCGAATATATTATATAGATTGAGGAATGTTCAGTATCAATACTTAAGGGTCCATTAACTCATCTTTTGGAGCCGTTGCTAAGGAAAATTTATTCTCATTTAACCTCATCATTTTTAGTTAGTTCAGAGTTACTTCATGTGTTCTAACTTTTTCATGACCAGTAACATCGGTGATGACGTCATCAGACTACGCCCTTGGTCATGTGACTAATACCGAAAAAATGCAGAGGCTCCCAGATAAATTACTGTATCGGGATTTTTTTCATGGATTTAACATTTTAATTTAAATCCTTATTACGTTATGCATAGATTTTGTTTCATTTCCAAAAGGTCAGATTTTCAGAGAATTTCAAAATATTGAAAAATTCGTACTTTTCTGACAAAAGCATGATTTCCAAAAAGGAATGTTTAGCTATGTTTTCAACGTTGGCTTTAATCGAAACTCGTCGAAAAAGGTTGAATTTAATGAAAAACTGCGTTTCCTTAAGCATTTAAAGAAACCGGAAGTGCGCTCGATGTATATTGGAAGTTACCCTATCAGCGCGTGCGTAATTTACACTACCAGTGCACTTCGGGAAGATCAAACAAAGCCACAAGGAGTCAGTTTTTCCCTTTTTTTGCTCTTGTTGTTCTGTTTTTCTCTTATTTTGTCTTTGCTTGTACCTGTTTTTATTTTGCATCTTGCGAAACAAAGAAAAAGCATCCAAAATATGAGCGAATTTGCAAGTTATTAATCGATAAAAGTGCCGTTTTTTGTCACTGACTTGTATATTTTAGCAATTTTTAAACACATAGGAAGTTATTAAGTTGTTTTTATTTTCCGCGCGCAGGCTGACGCAAGTAACCGGAAGAGACATTTCACCTCCTCAACAACGCGCGCGAGCGCGCGCATGAATCGGTTAATGGGTCTTAGGACGAAAGCGCAGGTAATCTGCGCGTGCTCAAAGGAAAACGTCAGTGTTTTTTGATTTTTATGACGTCAACATGAGCACAAAAAGCAAAACTGACAGTGAATTTTCTCGCGTTTCCTTCGGTGAATTCTTTTTAAATTTGGCTCAGTTTTAACCACATACAATTCCTATAAAATACCATATTTTTGTTGAAATCTGTCAGAGCTTCTCTAATTTATTTAGAAGAATGACAAATTACATAATATTGGAAAAACCGTCTGAACAACCTTGACTTTTTACCAATTCAAAATGTCAGGCAATATCATCTCCATGATGTGGCAAAGTATGAAAAAATTTCACCGGAGGAAAGTATAGATATTGAGGAGTTTAGGCCAAAATGAGGAATATATCTGCTTGTCATTAGATGAGATGCTGTCATGGTAACGGCCTTAATCCAAAAATTGTCAACCAAAAAATAAGCCTTATTTTAACAGTACCCATGCTGGTAAATCTCTACAGAGAAAACTTAAAGAGAAATTAACTAAGTTTCTTTTTCTAACTCGCGCTCTATACGGAGGGTGTTCGTAAATACTCTAGGGAGCCACCTTAAGGACAGTGCCTACTTTTGTTCGTGCGCACACGTTCTGCGCATCACGCAAGGCATAGTTTAAGTGCGCGCGCGCTGGAGTTGACATTGACGCAATCAACCACGCGACCAAGTACACGACTAAAATGAAAGCGAAATTTTCCTATTGTGACCAAATCAAGTTTAATGAACCTGTACTTAAACCAGGAACACCAGAATAACAGCATAGCGCTAACCGCTAACTGTTAACGTCTTCCAACTGAAAAACTAGCTGTTATCCGTCGGAAATTATACTGAAATCCAACTGTAAACCTGTACCTGCAGGTGGCGTATTGCGCGCGCAAGGCAAGTGCGAGATACGAAAATAATTTACTTACTTACTGGGGAGGTAACAGGAAAAATGTAACGGGCATTAACTTTAAAAAACGCGTGGTTACCCCTATATTTTATGTTATGAAATGGAAGTGGCAAGCCTATTCAATAAGTGACTAGTTTCTGGTGGTGAGCCAAAAGTATTTAGGCTGTATTTTAGCCGAACTAGAAGAAGGCTGTCAGAGACGCTAAAAGCTCTGGTGCAACGATTTTGTTATTAAAAACATACCGAAAATGGTTTTCACGGTACCATTTACCATGCAGTTTTAAAATCTTTATAAATGTGTTTGCTCTTCTGTATGTAAAGGCGAATTCTAAGGAAATCTGTGAAGAAATATCCTTTCCTTCTTTTTTCAGAAAAAAGCTGATGGCAGCATTTTTGTTGAGATTCAAGGCTGATTATCTCGAAAAAATGCGTGGTTACCCCAATTTTTTTTTTGGATTCCAATGGCCCTTGCAAAGAACTACCTTTTCCACGTGGTCCTAACATGGCGCAAAAACCTTTGTATTTAGTAGGCACCGTCCTTAAGGAAACCAAGACATAAAGCTGTAGATTGTTCACTCACTTGACATGCCCATTAGGAACAGTTTGCAAGCCAGGTAATCTTCTTTCGAGATAGTTGTTTCCAGCTTAACGGATTCCACATCAAACCGTCTCTTGATATCATCTGTCAAAAGGCGTTCCTCGGCTACTGCATTCAAATGACCAGAACAGAAGTCTTCCCACAGACCTTCGAGAATTTCCAGAGTCCTGCACTCCACTGTTATCAGTAAACTTCCCTCGTTTGCTTCTCTTACTATTAAGTCGAGTACTCCTTTTAAATAGTAATCAAGGCAAAGAGGGTAGTTGTCCGCTGGGANTGTTATCAGTAAACTTCCCTCGTTTGCCTCTCTTACTATTAAGTCGAGTACTCCTTTTAAATAGTAATCAAGGCAAAGAGGGTAGTTGTCCGCTGGGACTTGAGATGCATGTGTCTCAAGGAAGCATCTGGTCATCTCCTTCATTATAACCCGCTTGGCTTCCTCTTGTTGCGCAGGATCTCTGCTTTTTGCCTTTTGAAATGTAACCTGTCTATTTTGATAACGATGGGTACGGTACCTTAAAAAACATTGAAATCAAGAACCGTCGTTAAAAAAATTAAATTACCTACATTTAAAACCAAAATTTTCCAGAATTAGTTATCACTATAATCTTTTAATTAACAGAAGAGAGTTAGTTTATTATGTGTTAAGTCAAGACGTAATTCTGAAATCTTACAGATACATTCTTCACAAAACCATTGTTGATGAAACACTTTCTTTAATTTGCTTTCTCTCTTTTTATCATATGGTCAGTCTAAATATCTGCACAGTCGGTACTCGGCTTAGCACTGTGTTTGCCCATCAACGCAATTTGGCTTGTCGATTTATATTCATGATTAATTGGTTTATTATAATTAAGATGGTCAAAAATGTGGAGGACAAATCTTGTTTGGTCTTACGGCCACCTTGTTATTACGGCCACTTTTTTTGTCCCGGCCAAACGCCCATTCATTTTCTTATGAGAAAATCCTGTTAATGTGGCCACCGCGTTAATACGGCCAACGGCCACATTCTGAAATCCCAGCCTGTGTAATCCTTGTTTATTAAAGAACAGTTGATTAGAAGTACAATTGTGATATATCTGCTTAGACGTCACTCAATTTAGACCATTAAGAAATTTGACCTTACCCCGTTGATACAGCCACCCCGTTCAGTATGGCCAAATTTTCATAGCCTGATGATGACTGTATAAACGGGGTTCTACTGTTTGTCTATTTTTTTGCTTTTTTCTTCGTATTTTGTCATTTTTTAAAACTTTTATTCAGTTTTGTTTTCCTTTTTAGTGCAGAGTGCACTATTGGGATGGCTCAGGGGATTTCCGTCCGCTAATCACTAAGCACTAACGCACAAATGCACTAAGGCGATCAGGTGTAAACTTAAATGCTTATTTAATTCGTAATCAATTTCAGTTATTTTAGTTAGATGAAGTAAAACAAATTTAATTGCCTTCGACATAAACATAACATCACAATTCTGCCTTGGACATATTGAACTCGTGCCCCCTGTCACGCTCGCAATTGCTCTTGGTATAGCGTTACTACAATTCTAATGGCCAGCGGTCGCTCCATATTTAGGTAGGTACGTAGTGTATTTATCATATAGTTGTTCGACGTAATCCAATTTAGGGATATTTATAGGGAGGGATACATAGCCCTACACATACGCTATACACGGCTATACATAACTCTACACAGCTATACATGGCTATACATAACCCAACACAGGTATATACATGGCTTTATATAATAACCCAAGTTATTCTCTCATTTTAATTGGTTCTCGCCTATGATCTATTAGAGGACAGACGCACGATTGACGTCATCATCCCAAAGTTTTTTCCCCTCTGTGTTCAAAATGGCGGAAAGTTTTAAGAATTTAGATACTATTTTTCGTGACTGGGGCAAAATAAGATACAAAAAAGTCTTGTCGAGGCATTGATCAGGTGCGAGAGATTGGAAGAAGAAAGAAAAAAGCCGTTTCTTTTCTAGAAAATGACTCAGAAAAAAAATACTCAAGCAGTCTCAGTCGGCAGTCGAGCGAAACTAAACTAAATACAAAATTACTTTAAGGCAAGAAACCATTGCTTTGTCTCGAATTTAACAAAACCAACAAACAAAATTTTTCTGTCATTTAAATTAATCTTTTTTTGGTCTCAAAGTGATTGTCGACACAGTTTGATTCTGTTACGAGTATCGTTGTAGAAACCATAAACTGCAAGGAACCGCATACGATAAACGCTGCCAAAGTAGGATCTACAAGAGATCTGATCAGCCAAAAAAAACTGTATGAAGACAAGCAATAGACTGCAAGGCTGGTACTACGTGAAAAACGTTTCGAGATACCAACATGACAAGAACCGATAAAGTAGGATCGCAACAGTGGACAGCTGTTTCGCCCTTCTTGGGGCTCGTCAGCACTGTGTAGCGAAGATATGTAACG